TTTATTTGGTTTGATTCAAGTAAACAAAGGTCTGAACATCACATGACCGAAGTATTATGCAGTCACGCAACGTAATCAGTATGAAATAGCCCCTAAAAGATGGCGTTCAGAGACTTTTGGCGGGGTCTGTACTTATTGAGATATGGTTTTATTTGCCTAAGTCCTTTAAGTACACAAAGTTGAAGAGTATGAGCAGAATACGCTACACAATTTACACCATCCCATTCTCTGATTGCCTTTAACATGTTGCCTCCATTATCCGTAATTGCTATATTTATTTTTTCTTCTAAACCTAAAACCTTTAGCTTACTTTGAATTGTATTACAAATATGCTCTCCAGTATGAGGATAGGAAATTTGCTCTACACATACCAGTATATCATATAATTTCATTTCTTGAGTTAACCAATGAAATGTTATACCAATATATCCAGTTTTTGCTCTTGATGTCTAAAGATCTGCAGTTATTGATGCGTATGTACAAGTTTTCTTAATATGATCTTTCATTAATTCAATTGCTATTTTATATCCGCATCCTATATCCCGTTTTAAAGTTGCGTAGCATGGTGAAATAAATGCTGGGTTAACTTTATTTATCATTCGCTTAAAACCTTGTCCTTGAACTACTCTAAAAGGTAATCCATCAGTAACAACCCAATCTGCTACTGCATAACGCAATTCTTGTTGCTTTGGCTCCTTATATGGCGTAACTTTCTTAATTTGTTCATCAATTTTTAATTGCTAATATTAAGTATAAAAAATAAAAATTAATATAAATAAATAAAACAGTAATTTATTATGCAATTTCAGTACTTACTCCCGATTTTTGTTCATATTTCTTATGAACATTTTGAATATGATATATCATGCTACTAGTTTGACTTTTAGAGATACAACTATAGTTACACTCCCCTCATCATTACTATTATTATCTATATATCTGCAATACGACCATCAGTTTTAGCTTGAAAGAACTTCCAAGAATCCATTGTGGTTCTTGTTCAGTTAGCGTAATTATTGTGTTTGAGTTATCAAACGCACTATTATTTTTAGACAAATGTGAAGTATCTTCTTTTAGCGCGTTTCCTTGAGGTACTTGCCATTTAAAACAAAATTAAAAAATATTTTCGCGTTTTTGAACAAAGAAAGTGAAAAAAGGAATAAGTAAATAAAGAAATAAAAATTAATTAATAGTTAACGCTAACTCCTAAATTAGGGAATTTAACTTTGATCGATGATTGATTAATAAATTTTAAGATTCAATTAATTATGATCGATTAAACATACAATCAATATAATTAGTTTTAATCGATTAAAGAGACTGCGGTTCGGAGAAATTTTTTACAAATGTCTTCTTCAAAAATCACTCTCTTTCGTAGGACCGTTTTGCCAACTCACTTCGTTACTCGTAGAGTTCGATGCCTTCAGTCGCCGGGTCTTATGTTGAGGAACTCGAGACCTTACTTATTTCATTCGTCGTCGTCGAAAAATTTTACAAATATAAAAAATGCCGAGACTAGTAAGTCTGAAGCTGTGATACAGGAAGGTTCTAATGCTCCCGAAAAGAAACTGGCGTCTTCTCTTAAAGAACTGGTGCAAAAGAAGTTTACTGGTATCTCAAAAAAACTAAATCCTGACACTCCGCCGTCTGGGAAAAATATATGGAATTTTATACGGGACAACTGGAAGCAAGTTCTGGGGGCTGGCATACTAGCGGACTTTCTTTTTGCTTTGGCTATGAATAAGTTCAGCGAGTATCGTGTCAATTCAGCTTTAAAAAATGGTACTCGGCCCAAGTCAAAAGTGCTGGAAGATGAGTTTGTTCCTCGACCTCAAATTTCAGAAATCCTTAAGAAAATTTTTCAGCCAAATGAACATCAATCATATTATCACGTCGTTTGCGGAGAACATGGCACTGGGAAGACAACATTGACCAGAATGGAGGCAAAAAACGTTGGGAAAGGTGTCATATATGTTGATATTCCCTCCGATTTTGAGAACTTGGGAGAAGCTTTTGGAAAGGCTATTAATTTGTCATTCTTCGAAGACATCTCTATTACAACCCTACTGATGCGGAAATTTTTTTCTGGGATGGGTGTGACTAGTGAATCTGCCATTTCCCTTTATCAATGGAGGAGAGTTATGAAAATTTTTCGACATGCCTCAGAAGTGTACAAAAAAAAGTATCACAAACCACCTATTATCATTTATGACAATATCAGCCGAATAGTAAAGGAGAACCCAAAAATTCTTGATATACTTCAAGATGACGCAAAGGATAATGCTGATGATAGAGCATACATCGCAGTATTTGTCAGTAGTGAAGGGAGTGTAACTCGAAGAATGGAAAGTAAGTATCAATATGTTTTTTTGTGCTATGGAGAGAAATAGTATTATTTACATTTTGTGATTCTTATTTTTTAGCTCGTAGTGCATGGTCACGTGCAGAAAAACCAGTGATGGAAATTGGTGATCTTAGCGAAAAAGAGTCAAAGGATTATCTGATTAAGAGGTGCACAATCAAGGAAGAGAAAAAGGGCAAGTTTATTAGAACGGAATGCAAGATCAATGATGAACAAGTAAATGAATTATATAAATTAGTTGGTGGACGCGCTGTTGATCTAAAGGCTGTGGCGAACAAATTTCTAGCTGGACACTCTCTCGAAGGTAAGATTAACTTTATATTTATATCAAATGAAATTACGCAACTCTGCTTCTTACTGGCTCTTTTTCTGCAGTCATCAAACAACAAGTCTTAACCGAAGTTGAAAAGAAATTCCAATCTGCACAACTCCTTCCAAATGATCCACATTACGAAGTAGGAAAGTGTATTATTAGTGATTTGTTAGAGTATAAAGAGATTAGTTTTTTAACATTTAAGAAATATTTCAATAAGATTGATGAATTAAATGAAGTGTTAGGAAGCAACATATTTGCATATCATCCGAAAAAAAACACAGTGACCTTTCAATCTCAATCAGTAGAATATTATATTCAGAAAAACTCTGATATATTTGTTAAAGAAAAATCCATAAAATAAGATTGGGATTTACATTTTTAGAGAAAGTATAAAATCTACGTAGAAATAATATATTAATAAATAATAAAGCTTATTTTATTGCTAAAGGGGTTAGTGAATAAATTTTATTCTTTTGTTACTATTGTAATTTATTATTCTGAATATTGCGCGTAAATTCCGATAACTTTTGCATTAATATCAGAGAAGCAAAGTGAAAATGTATGATGCTATCAAAGAGGGAGGGATTATGCGGATCCTAGGCCATTTAATGCGAGTCCCAGCATCAAGTTATTTCTTTGCTCTCGCACATTTCAGATAAATTTCTAAGGCTAATTCACTACTATAACTAACTACACTCTCACCCCATATTCTTTCTCTACCCGAGATAAATTCACCCACTTATATCTATATAATTTTCGCCAGTATATATTACTCTCACTAAGACAGAAAGTTTCGATTTTAGTTAAGTTCTGCAAGAGAACTTTCACTGGATTAAATAATTTCGAATCTACAGCATAAATCGGGAGATTAGCAACTGAGGTAGAGAAAGCAACGTAATGCTACCGATTCACACTTACTGTTACTTATTTTCAGAATATTACAGTCCGTCTCATATATAAGAAATTTATTCCTTAATTTTTTCTGCGTTATCACCGGTACGATATTGCACAAAGTTTCAAGAATTCGGCATATGAAGATGCTTATGACGTTTGATATACTGCATCAGACTTTTGTTGTACCATTTCATGTGACAAGATTCATGTGAGTAATTTTACTGCGTCTGTTGCATGGTCAAAGATTTTCTCAGCGATTAAAATGCTGATATATAACAAGAAGAGTAATATGCCCGTTTTATTTTAGGATAGCTATAGGGTGGGAAAATCAATTAACGTCATAATGACATATTTCAAGATTCTAGCTGAACAATATACCAACACACTTTATTATTACTTTACAGAAATACAAGTTTGATTGATTAGAGATATTGTTGATGCAAATAATAGTAAGTTAGATTGGTTTGATTAGTTTTGTTTGATTTTTATTTTACTTATATGAGACAAATAAAAGGATTCACTAGTCAGAATATTATCTTTTTATACAATTTGCAGGATTAATCTTGAAATACACTTTGGGAAAAATTACGTTAATATAAATACATTATGAAAATCTGATCAACAGCTTCTCCTTAATTTAACAATAAAGAATTTAACACTATCCATAATCCATATGTAAAAATCATCAAAAGGCTATACATAATTTTGAGAATGTGCGAGAAAGTTTGAAAATAAATTATTTTACGCAATTACTTATTCCTGTGATACATGTAATAATTACTATAATATTACTATGTATTTATTTATCAAGCTATAATAAACTTGGAAAAAATAATAGTACACACTTTGCTTCACACAATCCCATCACTCATTTCATACGAAAAATTATAAAATGTCTAGTAAATTTCACCATTGCTTTATTGATTAAATTACTTGAGAACATTCATATCATTTATAAATTCCTTTTGATACCTTCTTACATCTTTTGCAATACAGATGTGTGATGATCATATTCCTCACAAACCTTACATCCTTGCTTACATCCCCTAAATATATGCCATTTTTCAAAGTAGTTCTGCCTTAGCAAAGTGACTTTTAGCTCTTTATAAGCTGTACTATTCTGATTGTTTGTTAAGAAATTCAGCATGATATATATAGTTAAAAAATTCTTGTATATACAGACCTATTATTTTGGTAGTGCTTTTTTTGGATGATCGATTTTACATAATCTATTTCATCTTATGCTACAATTGCGAATTTGAATTTATTGCTTAAAGTGAAACAAGTAAAACAATATTCTAACTTATCATGAGATAGCAACTTTGTTACTTCAGAATCATAAAGGAACTGATTTCCATTTTTGCAGTACCATAAGTCATATAATTCATAATTCCCATATTTTCCATCACAAATAGGATATGGTGAGTTCTATAGCTGAGGTGATGTAAAATCATAATTATCAATTCCTCTGAAACTATTTCTGAATTTCAAGTATGAGAAGTGCTTTAAAATGGATTTGATAATTAATTCTAGATCAGGTCTGACTTCAAAAGTTATAGGTCCTTTTTCTTTACATTGCTCAGAAGAAGATAAATAGGATACTTTATTTTCTGACTTCAAATTTATAAGAAGATCAGCTTCTGATGTATGCATTTCTGATAATTGCTATGGCTTATGTTTAGCTTCTTTTTATTATTTTTTATATAAGCTGGATCAAATCTTATCTGTTAAAATACTTGGTATTTGACATGCTAATTCAGGTATTCAAAAATTAATATTTTATTAGATTAGCTCATGTTTCCTTTTTTCTATAATCACAAATTAATTTAAATTCCTTTTTCTCTTTAGTTCGAAAAAAATTAAAATTCACAGATAGAAAGCTGTTTAATATCTTTTATCATATTTCTAAAAAATAGTTAAATTATCTTCCGCAAGGAGAAGGTAATGAGACTATGCAATTATTTCAATTTTATGCTATTCATATTTAATAAAATAAGATCTGAATTTATATGGGGCCTTTGCAGTAAAAAAACTGGAAATTCTGAAAAACGTGATTTTGAGATAATTGAGTTTGAAATTTTGATCACATGTAAACAGATCGACAGTCTGCAGAATTAAAAATAGAATT